CGATCGCACTCCATCTGCCGCCGCGTTCATCTCCGCGAACCCGAACCCCCTCGCCGGAGCACACACTTTATATCATGAAATTAACCTCTAGGAATTTTCTGTTTTGGAGAACCCAGGTAATACCCTTTCTTAGAGGCCAGGATTTGATCGGCTTTGTGGATGGAACCACCCTATGCCCGGCAGCCACTCTCACCACGGTCTCCGCAATTCGGTACCAGTACAACCGCTACGGCGACAGCCCCGAACCCAGCGTATAAAACATGGATACTCCAGGATCAGTCGATCCTTTCTCTATTAATATCCTCGATGTCAGATGAGGTATTACATCTCGCGGTTGGCCGGAATACCGCCGCCGACGTTTGGAAATCAATCTGCACCGCTCTCGCTCCAACACGCAGGCTCGTTGTCTGAGTTTGCTGGGCCAATTCCAGGCGCTCCGGCAAGGAAACTCCACGCCGGCGATTACCTTGGACGGGCGGAGCTCCTGGTAGAGCACTCGCGCAAGCTGGACAGCCTCTCTCCATGGCCGAACAGAACCTTTACGTTCTGAGAGGCCTGAGGCCGGAGTACCGTGCATACGCACGTCTCTCACCGCTCATGCGCCGGTGTCGCTCCCGCATCTCGCTGATCATCTGCAGGCCGCCGATTTCATATTGGCAGATGACTTTCCGGACGCTGGCATGTTCGCCGTCAGCGCTCTATACAGGCCGAGGCAGTGGTGGCCGACACTCCCAATCCAGCAATAATCAAAACAGCGGTGATGGTGGCCGGCAGTCCCAGTGGCGTGGCGGAAGAGGTGGCAGAAATCATCGGGGTGGCCGAAATCAGCGCGGTGTACCACGTTGTCAAATTTGTAGATCGCAGGGACATATCGCGGTCTACTGTTATAAACGGTACACGACGCAAGCCACACGCACAAAGCCCATGTTGCAGTGTCCGGAGATTCCCCGGGCACATCCGTACCACCGACCGACGCGTGGTATCCTGACACGGGTGCCACGGCTCATGCCACTCCGATGCCGGCATGATAACATCCGTGGAGGAGTATAATGGCCCGGATACGCTCTGGGTGGGAAACGGTACAAGGTTTAGTAATCTCACGGGTTGGCCATGCATCAATCCCATCTTTGTCAAAACAATTGTTTCTATCTGATGTATTACATGTCCCGAAATTAACTGTTCCCCTATTGTCTGTTCAAAAATTCGCTAAAGAAAATAGTGTGTTTTTTGAATTTCATGACAGTTGTTTCATTGTGAAGGATTCCAAAACCAAGGCAGCGCTTCTTAAAGGCCCGACTTCTGGAGGTCTGTACAAGCTACCTGTGTCCTGGAGTCATTTTGCGTTCGTCAGTTCCCGGGCAACACCCACAATCTGGCATCGCAGACTCGGTCATCCACATAGTCTAGTGCAGAATAAAATTCTTCAGTATTGTTCAGTTACTCAAAATAAAACTAGTTTCGGGTCATGTACGGCTTGTCACCTCGCAAGTCCTCTCGGTTTCAATTAGATTGGATAAAAGAATCTAGCAATAATGTACTAGATCTATTGTATACGGACATCTGGGGGCCTGCACTAGTTGTCTCGTCTAGTGTTATCGTTATTTCCTTCTGTTTGTTGATGATCATTCCCGGTATTGCTGGTTTTATCCATTAAGGGTAAAATCAGACATCTATAAAATGTTTGATGTGTTTCGTGTGTTGGTAGAGCGGCAATTTTCGCGCTCTATCAAGTCTATACAGTCGATCTAGGGGGTGAGTACCGCAAACTTCATACCACGTTTCAAACCCTTGGATTAATCACCGTCAATCATGCGCTTACACGCATGAGCAAAACGGAAGAGTTGAGCGCCGTAACAGACACATTGTCGAAACGGCTTGGCTCTTCTCGCCCAAGGGGCTGTCCCACATCAATAATGGGATCATGCTTTCGAAACAGCCACATGTCTAATCAATTACCTACCTTCCTCAGCATTAAATTTTGAAAGTCCATATTACCGCCTTCACAAAAAGTTACCCCCATATCAGTTTCTACGTGTCTTCGGGTGCTTATGTTACCCGTATCTAAGGCCTTATAACCGGCATAAAATAGAGTTTCGTTCCACACCGTGTGTCTTTCTGGGGTATCCTCCGTCCTTTCGAGGATACAGATGCATGTACTTAACTAGTGGGAAGACTTATATCTGTCACCATGTGCGGTTTGACGAGTCTATTTTTCCCTTTGCCACAGGTACATCACCGCGAGCTGTTGAACCACAGCCTGTGCCGTGGGCAGCTGGTCCCATAGTACCAGTTCACAATGAACCTGCAGTTAGCCCTATCTCTACTATACCACACGACTCTGACCCTAGCCAATAGCTCAAGAAGTGCCACAATTGGCCATTGAGCTCACTGTCCCGGCTTCTCGGGGCGGGGTCGGGGTCGAGGTCGGCACAACCTCAAGAGCGGGATCATGTTATGCGTCTCCGCCGCATGACACAGGGCACTGATGTAGAATTCCACGCCCTAACTGCAGTCACTGCTGATCCAACATGTTATTCTCAAGCAGTTGGGCACCCACAGTGACGGGATGCCATAGATCAGGAGTTTAATGCTCTACTGCATAACAACACCTGGCGTCTGGTCCCACCTGATCCTACTATGAATATAATCGGATGTAAGTGGGTGTTTCGCACCAAGCGTACTATAGATGGCTCGGTAGAACGGCATAAGGCTCGTTTTGTGGCGAAAGGTTTTAATCAGGTAGCCGGAGAGGACTTCTTCGACACCTTCAGTCCCGTGGTCAAACCGACAATGGTTCGGCTTCTTTTTTCGTTGGCCATCACCAACAAGTGGACTCTACGATAGGTAGATGTGTACAATGCCTTCCTAAATGGGCATCTAGCCGAAACAGTCTATATGAAGCAACCTCCATGTTACGAGGACCCGACTCACCCTAATCACGTCTGCCACTTGCAAAGGTCTCTCTACGGCCTGAAACAGGCTCCGAGGGCATGGTTCAAGAGGCTGCGTGACTTTCTTCTTACCACAGGGTTTAATGCGTCAAAGACGGATGTCTCTCTCTTCTACTACAGCTCAGATGGGTGTCAGGTTTTTCTCCTTGTTTACGTCGATGACATCATTATGATGGGGAGCAATGCTACACTGGTTAATACTTTATTAAGCCGGCTGGCTACTGCGTTCAAGATCCGGGATCTTGGCAAACTGGGGTTCTTCTTATGCATTGAGACTGTGGACACTAAAGGCAGCATGATCCTATCCCAGCGTCGTTATATGTCTAATTTGTTGAATCAAGCTGTTATGGTTGACTGCAAGCAACTAGCCACACCCGCATCCACCACACAGGCCGTAACTTCATCTGATGAACCGTTTGATAATCTCACACAGTACCGTCGGATTGTTGAGGCTTTACAGTACCTCACTCTTACTCGTCCGGATCTATCATACGCAGTGAACCGTTTGTGTCAGTTTATGCATACTCTGACAGTTGATCACTGGGCCATGGTCAAGCGGGTCTTACGGTATATCAAAGGCACCTTGGATTATGGGCTTCGTCTTAGTTCTTCTCCGACTGCTACCATTCACGCCTATTCCGACTCTGACTGGGCCGGCTGTCCGATTGATAGGAAGAGCACTAGTGGGTATGCGGTGTTTCTCGGGACTAATCTCGTCTCTTGGCTATCAAGGAAGCAACGGACTGTGGCCCGCTCTTCGACTGAAGCAGAATATAAAGCCCTAGCTGATGTTGCCGCTGAAGTCACTTGGGTTGTCTCTCTTCTCCGTGAGCTTGGTCTACACACTGGGCAGCCTTCTACTCTATGGTGTGATAATTTAGGAGCAACATATCTATGTGCTAATCCAGTTTTCCATGCCAGGACGAAGCATGTTGAAATCGACTATCATTTCGTCCGTGATAAGGTTGCCAGCGGGGACTTTGTGGTTAATTTTGTATCGACTAAAGATCAGCTGGCCGATGTCTTCACCAAGCCTCTTCCGGAACCCAGATTTATAGCTCTTCGATACAAGCTCAACGTTGTGTCTCTAACACTGTGTGCTTGAGGGGGTGTGTGAGTATTAATATTATTATCTGTGTTTATAATTGTATAACCGATGATTAGTTTTCTATGGTTAGAATGAGTCTACTGTCTGTATCCTATTAGATAGGAGTAGTTAGAGGTAGACTGAGATATACTCTCCTGTAATTCTATCGTTGGTTAATTGGAATTGATTTTGAATTCTCATCCTACTTATACTGTGATCAATCAAATATTTTGGATACAATTTTGTCCTTAAAGTATAATGTAATTTTAACTTTACCAAAGCTATATCTAAATTAAAGTAAGGTTCTTTTAGGTTAGTTGTCATAAAGAATAGTTCTCTATAGTGTACTTTTTACAGATATGTACTAAAAAACAGTGTGATTTTGTAATTCTAGAAAGAGAAGTATTACTCAGCTATGTTTCATACGAATGTGTATCATCTATCATTGTTTAAACTAAATTTTGAGCAATCCAAAACTATTTTTTTTTTAAATATATGGAAGGGGGACACCCACAGGTTACACCAGAAGACTATTTTTTTTCTTTAATTTGTTTTGATTGCTGTTTTGGGGTTTAATTGAGTTAGTGCTAAAATTGACTATCTACTTTTCAATTGACAAAGTCAAATATAATTTTTAACTACTGTTCATTTAAAAGTGTAGAAAATAGGACTATATACTTATAATCTGGTCAATCTATTATTTTGGTTAGAATTTTATCCTTAAAGTTTAATTACATTTTAACTTGACCAAGTCTATATCTAAATGAAAGTAATATTGATTTAAAGGTCTAGAATGTAGGACTATCTATTATAATTAAATTTTAACTTTAAAGTTGAATTGCATTTGAACTTGACCAATTATATATCTAAATTAAAATAATGTTGATATAAAGGTATAGAATGTAGGACTATCTATAAAGTGAATGTATATTTGATTACTTTCAATTTTAGTGTTTTAATTTCAACCATTAGTGTGTTTGATTGATTATATGTTTTCTATACAGTGTAACTGTTTTACTATTGGTAGATGTTTGTCTTTTTTATTAGTTTGCTAATGATGATATTTAAACTGTGTGAGTTTGAAAGAATATAGCAGTATGTATATAGTGCAAATAGTGAGTTTTATTACAGTAGATATAGTATAATTAAAAATACAGACTTAGTACTTGACTACAAATTTAGCAGATGGGTAAAATTAAATCAGTTTAAACCCTCTTCTGGTCCACTGGTTGACTGTACTTGCTTCCTTAACTGATTGTGATTGTGTTTGCTTCCTTGTGTTTGGTTCCTTCTCAGATTGTTTGCTTGCTCCCTTCATTCTTGCCCTGCATACAGTTTCATATATCTAACAATATATAAACTAATAAACACAGTGTATAAAAAGAAAGCATAGGTAAACAACAAAGGCAAAGAGTCTATTTTAGATTGAAACATAATGAAATTGTTCAGCACAAACAAAGAGAAATTGAGCAGGGCAAAATATAAAAACCACAGAAATGTGGTAATAGTCTGTAGTATCCAAGATCTTAAATTTTTTCCTGTTTAACAACAACATTTTTTCCCTTCTTCCTAGAAGAAGAGAATTGATCCAGAAGCGATCTCTTGACACCATTAGGATCTTCAGGTTCAATGTCTAGACTTTGAGACTGCTGTATACTTAATGGACTGTTGACCTCATTGTCTCCATTAGAAGCCTCCTGTATATTAAAAGTTGATTTAGTCCAAAACATGTCAAACATAGACTTAAAAATGTAAATATTTATTTTACTTTATTAAAAATAACAACCTGATCAGATTCCTCATCTTCATCCCCATCCTCATCTATCATTTTTGTCATCAAGTCCTTCTCTTGGTCTTCAATAAGTTTAGAACAGTATGCTGACACTAAGACTTCATCCCTTAGAACTCTCATCACAGTGTAGGCTGAATTAGCTCTCTTCATGAACTTCATTTTTAATGATATCTTAAATATCATTCTCAGACCAACTAAGGATTCCAATTCTCTTGGAATGTCAGGAACCTAAAATAAAGAAAATAGCATACTTAAAAAAAAAAAAAAAAAAAGAAGACAAACACAGTTCATATGAAGTGTTAAATTTTACAGTACTGTTACTTTACCTTATTATACTTCGTGTACAAACTGTGTGCCGGGATACCAACTAATTCAGAACACTCTCTATCCCATAAAAGGAATGGAGCATCTCGTAGACCTTTATCTAGAACAATAACTTTGACCTGATACCTTGCCATGCCCTCTTGATACTTCTTATCACAGTGTGTACAAATCAGATCAACTAATTGTCCAAAAAGCTTTCTGTTACATCCTGGTGACATGCATGAGATGTACATCCATCCAAAAGAGCCTTCAATGGCCACAATTTCAGCAGGTGCATAGAACTCCCCATTCTACCATAGAAAATGTAACTTGGTTACTCTGTCTTATTAAATGTATAATGAGTTTTGTGGACTGTATTAAGGCTTTATAACAGTTTAGAGTCTAACCTGCTTCTTTTTCAACAGATCAGCTACTGGAGTGACAGTCAAAGCACCACTGGTGAAGTCATCAATGCCTGTGGATTGAGACAACACAGTTGCAGTGCTGATACTGCGTAAAGGGCTGTTTGATGCAGTTAACCTACAGGTAACATTTATATTTCAGGCACTTATTGAGAGGTAAACAGTAGATAAGAAATATATTTCAGGCACTTATTAAGAAGCCAAAAGGCTCTTATTTAAAAAGTCTTAGTTTAATGACTTTTTATTTTAGTTTTTTTTTTAAGAAAAAACTTATTTATTATTAGGGGTGTTTGGGAAATATTAACCCAAAATGTATATGTGTTGTTTTAGTTTTTAGCTGTTCGGAGCAAATTGTTGAGTTTATTTTGGTGTTTTGATTAAAGACAAAATGTTAAAATGGAGAATTTGTTAAAATTTTTGAGAATTTGTCAATAATCAAACAAGGTCATTTTCCATAATTATTATGGCAATTAACAATTTTTTATTTTGAAAGGGCAATTAACAAATTAATTGTACAGATATTAAAGTTCGTTTGGAAAGTAGGAAAATGATTTCTGAAAATGAGTTATTTTTCAGAAAACATTTTTCTTTTAAATGTTTGGCTGCACATCAAAAAATTTCAGTAAATGTCTTTGTGTATTTGGAAAACTGTCTTTGTGTGTATTTGGAAAACTGTCTTTGTGTGTATTTGAGTCATTTTTCTGAAAATGTCTTTGTATTTGGTTCATTTTTCAGAAAATGAGTAAAATTGTATACTTAAACATTTTAATTGTTATATATATAAAAAAACATAAAGGAAACAGAATTAACTTATTAATAATAATAATAATAATAATAATAATAATAATAAATAAATAAATAAATAAATAATCTATATCTATATCTATACTATAATTTTAAAAAAAAAATCCTATTTACTTAATTTCCTGCCCAAACAATAGTAAATAGTAAAGGTAAATTAAAAAAAAAAAAAGAAACATAAACTAGAAAAGGAATAGAAATATGTGACAATAATATTCTACATCATCAATTAAAAATAGAAAAAGAATTATGTAAATTGAAAACTGAAATGAATATTAATAATTGACTGAAAATTAAAAATGAAAAAATAAATGAAAATTAGGTTAACTGGAAAATGAAATGAATATTAATAATTGATTGAAAAAAAATCCATAATTGACTAAAATGGAAAAAGAAATGGTTAAATTATTGCATTTTAATTTTTTACAATAATATTACACAGTATAATAAATCAAATCACAATTATATCATAAATTTTTCATAATTTCAAACAATGGAACGGAAGTTAAAAATAGAACGAAAATGTTTCAATAATAATATTCTACATCATCAAGTAAAGTAAAATTAAAAATGGAAAAGAAATATTTCAATAATAATATTCTACATCATCAATAGTAAATGCATATTTTAAAAATAGTAAAGGTAAATTAAAAATGGAATGTTAATTAAAAATGAAACAGAAATATTTCAATAATAATATTCTGTATTTGGCTGAACGTAATTTTTATTTGCTCTCCCTTATATCCCGTATTTGGTTTCAACCATACCCATACAATTATTTTATTGACAATTATAATCAATCATGACTATATTATTTTGCATTTGTAAACTTAGAATTACCAATTTAAATACGCAAATTCAACATTCAATTATCTATACATGAACAATTCCAATATAATCTTGCCTTGATATACTTTAAAATACTTATTTAAGAAAAACATTTGGTATTATCTCAATCGCGCAATGCGCCTAAAAAACTAGTCATCAAATAAAAATGGAACGAAAATTAGTTAAAAATATCACTGCATCTATATTCTAATTGACTAATTGTCTGAAAATAAAAAAGAATAATTGACTAAAAATAAATTTAATATTACTAATTGACTAAAAATATAAAAGGAAATGAATATTAATAATTGACTGCAAATAGAAATGATCCATAATTGACTAAAATAAAAAAAAAATGGTGAGATCATTGCATTTTAATTAAAAATGGAACGGAAATTAAAAATTGGACTAAAATATTTCAATAATAATACTCTACATCATCAATAGTAATTGTATATTTTAAACAATAGTAAATGTAAATTAAAAATGGAACGAAAATATTTCAATAAAATATTTACATCATCAATTAAAAATGGAATGAAAATTAGGTAAAAATATGACATCATTTGATATTCTAATTGACTAATTGATTGATAATAAAAAAAAAAAAGATAATTGACTGAAAATGAATCTGATATTACTAATTGACTGAAAATATAAAAGGATCACTAATTGAGTGATATTCTACCATTATATATTTTCACCCGAGTAACCCGTCCTGATGGTACTCGTCCTGATGGACTGAAGGTGTTAGCTCTAGACGAGGATGTACAAGATTGTGTTGCCACTACCAATGCCGTTTACAAAAGAGGTTTCAATAATGTGTAAATATAATCGATAATATTATTTTTTTTGTTTAAATGGAAAAATTG